TCATGGATGTATTATATACGTGCCTGGATGTATTATATATGTCCATCATGGCATGCCTGGTACTTACAGAGGCCAGATGAGGGTGTTGGATCACCTAAAACTGGAGTTAGACCATTGTGCTTCTCCATGTGAGTGATGGGAGCAAGAGCAGCAAATACTCTTTACTGTCTGTCATGCCATCTCTCCAGATCTGGAAGAATTTTCATTTGTAAATAAAATGTTGAGGTGGGTTTATGAGATGCCTCGTTCAGGTTTATAATGAGAGAGGAGAGGTAATACAGTTGAACTGGTGGCCACAGACATTCTGACCCTGTGTGTGCAGAGTTCATTGTTGTTAGTGTCTTAGTCTTGAGGACAAAACACCATCTCTCGTAGTTTTGATATTTAGGTTGTGTTGAAGTTTCCAATAGGACAGATTCCAGGATGGGAGGCTGCTTTCTATTCCCACATCCTCTCATTTCTCCTGGTGTTCTATTCAGCCTCACATTATTTCTAACTTCCAACTAATTCTTCCCAGAATAAAAGTTGCAGCTTTTATTACTTTTTATGTGTATGGATGTTTTACCTGCATGCATGTCTGTGTACCTCTTGAGTGCCTGGTACTTGAGACAGCATTTGGATTCCCCCCTCTAGAACTAGAGTTCAAGAAAGTTGTGAGCCACCATGTGGGTACCAGGAATCAAACCCTGGAAGAGGAGACATGCTGAGCCATGTCTCCTGCCCCTTTTATGACTTTAAAAATTGATACTTGGAAGTAATCTTTTCTTTGTAATCCCTGTAAGACCTTTTTCCTTATAAAGTGATGTAATGGATATGTGTCTGTGGTGTAAGGTTTATATTTTATTGCTTTTAAATATATCTCTTTGAACATTAAAACAAGACCCTTGTTTTATTTGGCCTTAGGCTAATATTGGTAGATTCTTTCCAGAGGTTTTTTGTTTTTGTTTTTGTTTTTTCAAGACAGGGTTTTTCTTCAGCTTTGTAGCCTATCCTGGATCTCACTCTGTAGACCAGGCTGGCCTGGAACTCACCAAGATCTGCCTGCCTCTGCCTCCAGAGTGCTACATTTAAGGTGTGTGCCACCACTGCCCAGCCTTGCCAGCAGTTCTATCTATGCCTTTTAATGACTTAGTATGTGTATGCGTGTGTGTGTGTGTGTGTGTGTGTGTGTGTGTGTGTGTGTGTGTTAGGGAGTGGGTTAAAGGATAACCTCAGGTTTCAGTCTTTGCCTTCCACTTTGAGATGGAGCCTTTTGCTTTTGTCACTTGGCTAGCTGGCCCGTGAGCTCCTAGGAACGTCCTCTCTCTCTGTTTACCATCTCTCTGCAGCAAAGTTGGGATTATAAAATACAGGCTACCAAATTCTGTCTTTTATGTGGGTCCTGAAATTCAAACTCAGATTTTTAGACTTTTGAGGCAAACTCTTTGTCCACTGAGCCATCTCTCCAACTGAAACTAGATATTTTAAGGTGAAAGAAGTAAAGCAAACACTCTATGAATGACAGCTGTTGTCACTGTGACTTTTTTCTTTCTTTCTTTCTTTGACAGGGTCTCACTATAGAGACCAAGCTGGCCTGGAAATAGTGGAGATCCTCCCACTCCTGCCTTCCAACTGCTTGGATTAAAGGCGTGTGGTATCACACCCAGCCCCATTATAATGTTCTTATAAAAACCAAATCTATCAATGCTGATTTTAGGGTAACAGGGAGAAACAGTCTATGCTGTGGACTTTGGGTTGCCTAAGTGTATGTATTACTCATTACTCATTACTCATTACTCATTACTCATTACTGGTGACTGTATAGAAGGATATGATAATTGTAGAAATAATATTTGTTTTTGTTTTTTGAGATAGGGTCTCAGTAGAAATAATCTTCTATTTCATAAAATTAGGAAAAGATGACTACACTGAAAGTTACTGTTAACTCTAGTGTTATTCGAATACAGTCTTTTATTAGTACTAGTGGGTTATTAAATAATAATCTTTTGTGAATTTTAGCATATGAAAATTAAATTGAAAGCTTGCAATTATGTGGGTAGAAAAGCCACACTTTCGGAAGAATCAGCCCTAAACTTAATTGGCTGAGCGAAAACCTAATGCTGAGGGATTCTCATTGACTTATATGTACAATCCCACAACTGTCCTTTATGAGGTGTGGTTTCCTTTGTGAGGTCATGAATGACATTATCAGCAAGACAAATAGTTTTACTACCCTAAGTCAACCAGCCATCACACTCCCATCTGATGGACCACCAGGCTTCTGTCTATAAGGGGGTAGGCATGTGTGGATACATAAAACTAGGACTCCATTCTCCATCCCAAGTAAATAACTATTTGATGGCAGGGCCCTCACCATTTTTCTTGTTGAGACAGGCACCTTAAACAGTGTAAGACTGTGACAAATGGGTGTCTGCTTTTGTGTGTTTTGATTTTTTTTTTTTTTTTTCTTTCTGAGACAGGGTTTCTCTGTATTGCTTTGGAGCCTGTCCTGGAACTTGCTCTGTAGACCAGGCTGGCCTTGAACTCACAGGGATCCTCCTACCTCTGCCTCCTGAGTGCTGGGATTAAAGTTGCACACCACCAATGCCTGGCTTGGTTTTGACTTTTCAAGAAGATAAGGTTTGGCCTAAGGGTAACCGAATGTTTGACTTCCCTAGTGAGATACATAGAGTCTTCCACAGTTTCAGCAAACGTGCATAGTTTTGTAGGGAAAGTGTCAGTGGTAGTAAAGATGGACACAGCCCCACATTGCCCGAAGCAGGCTGCCAAGTTCCCTCAGGATTTTAGGGATCCTGACTGAAGTTAATGCTAGATTCCTGGCTTTGGCCAGAACAGAATTTTAGTCCTAGTCTGTGTGAAATGAAGGGGGAGCTGATTAAAAGTAGAGAAGTGCTCAGGGGAGGAGCAGCCGAGAGCATGGGAGTGAGCTTCGCAAAGAAGAGCGAGTTTATTAAAAGGCAGTTTTTAGAATTATTTTTTGTAGATTTTTAAACTCAGAGGTCAAGGGAGAGAAGCTCAGGGAATGGATGAGAAGCATCCAAGTGTGGATATGGGACTCTTAAGGAAGAGCCACACTTAGTTTCTTGTTATTAACCATATGAACTATTTTGGTGACTCTCAACTTACATCTCAAAAGGCTACTAAGAAACCTGTTTCTTTTCCTTTCCTCCTCCCACTCTCTCTCCTTCCCTTCTCCTCTACCTCCCTGAGAAGTGAGATTGTAGAGGGGCTCTAGAGATTCCTTGAGCAGGATTACAGAAATCAAAGGCACTGCATATAAGGAAGTTAGGGCATGCCCCTTTACTGTAAGTGAGTTTATCCTAGAAAATTCCATATTTGTGGCTAGGGAAGGAGGCCTTTAAGCAAATGTTGATTGAGCTGGAATCTTGATTCTCTGCTGCCCAGGGGAGGACTCATTTCCCTTCCTGTGTTTGGTCTTTCCTGTCTTTCTAACTTGCATCAACAAAGAGAACTCCAATGTCAGGGCATTTATATGTAATATATTAATTATTTATATATATTATATATTATTTATATGTAATATATTAATATATATACTAATTATATTAATATTTCCTGGGTAAAATGTTAATAATAATAATAATAATGATTAAAAAGAAACACATTGGAATTTTGGCGTTTGTGAAGGAGAATGGAATAAAAAAATCTTAAGAAATGCCAACTTCTATTTTAGTGTATAATTTATAGTATTCCAAAATGAGTTCTCTGTAGAATCTAGTTACCAACTCTACTGAAATTCTTTAATTTAGGAGAGTAGAGCGATATTTTACATTCAATATGGAAGCCAACATATTTACATTGAAAAAAATTTTTTTTCTATTCTAAGTTAAAACTACCTTTAAACTTAGCAAGCTCTGAGTTGCTCCCTATCAGTACAGCAAGTGAGTTGTTCAGACAGGTCTGGTCACCACCCCTACAGGAAAGTAGGGTAATGGCTTCCTTGTAAGGGTGTGCCAGATGCTTTAGTGAAAGGAGGGAAAGGTTTAGGCGGGTCAAATTATTTGCTTCGAAGTTAAAAAAAAAAAGAAAAAAGTAATCAAGGTGCTCATACAGCATTACCCTTTTATGTTTAACAAAATAAAGGAAAACCAGAAGATTTGGGTAGGATTCTTATATCTTGCAATGTTGTTTGGTTTCCGAAGAAGTTTGAAAAAAAAATTAAATTCACAAGAGCAGAGCTTTAAAAGAAACCCAACAATCCAGTAGTAGAAAACAAGGGAGAAAAGAAAGGAAGCCCTCACACAATACAGCACTTTATTTAGCAACACATTGAACACAAAGGAGCTTTCTCCTTGACACAGCTGTCTTGTCATTGGCTAGAGAAAACCTTTCTTTACCCCCACCCCCTTTGCTTGGCTTTTCCTTCTTTCCTTAAAATCTCCTCCAACAAAAGGAGTTACAGCAGGTTATCATTTCATTAGAGGACCAGGGCCACTGTTTTAGTGATTGAGATCTCAGTGTGCTGGCTTTGGCTTCTGTGAGGATTTCATTAAGAAGGGAAAACTGCAGAAAGTTGTCTGAGAGTTTGAACTGAATACTGGCCTAAAGACCCAGAGCAGGCCTGAGGTTTATTGTTCTGTTGAGTGACCCAGGACTTCCACCAGTTACCCTTGTGGAGGGGATTAGCTGTGGAACAAATTCGCAAGTACAGCTTGTAGTTTTGTCAAATCCACAATGACATTTCTTTTCACAGCTCTCTTGACTTTATACTGTTTAAATACCCTGAGTTGTCTCTTAATTTGCATTTCTTTCTTTAATTCTTGTCAGCTCCGAATGTAACGTTTACATAATCAATTTCCTTGTCCTGATTTTTTTTGAATTATTGCTTTTGAATTTGCAGTATACCCATTGGCATGTTTGGAACCTTCTTATTTTATGTTTTCTTGTCTACTTTGAGATAGTTTCATAATCTGTACATTGTCTTATTAAGATTATTGTGCAATGAAATTGACTTATTCTCTTTATTTTTTTCTTTGTAGGCTGAGCAATGGCATTTCAAAAGGCAGTGAAAGGGACTGTTCTTGTGGGTGGAGGAGCTCTGGCCACTGTTTTCGGACTCTCTCAGTTTGCTCATTACAGAAGGAAGCAAGTGAGTAAATGGATGAACTGATGATGAAGTGTTGATGACCATGTGTGTGCATGGCTGTGTAGGAATTATTCTTACAATCCCTCAGTTTAAAGAGACCATCAGAATACTGCCTTAGGATGCCCACGAATTTCGAGTCCCCCATGTTTTAAAATGGTAATGTCGTCTCAAAAGCCTCCGTTTTGGCTCTTTGATTTTTAAAAACTGCTTCATTTATTTGTGCCAAGGTTTGTTCATTTAGACTTTACTTTGTCCAGTTCATTGAGATTCCTGGGTGCTTTCTTTGCTTCTGCCAAGTTTGTCCTATTAGAAGGCAGGAGCTGGGAAAGGAAGTGGAAAAGCAAAGGCTCAACTCTACTATCTGATTATATTCTTTTTTCTTCTCTCTCCTCTCTTTCTCTCCCTCTCTCCCTCCCTCCCCTCTCTCTCACCCTCCCTCCCTTCCTCCTCCCCCTCTCCCCCCCCTCTCTCTTTTACTCCTCCCCACCCTGGGAGACAGGGTTTCACCATGTAGCTCTAGCTGTCCTGGAACTGTGCTGATCAGGCTGGTCTTGAACTCACAGAGATCCGCCTGCCTCTGCCTCTAGAGTGCCGGGATTAAAGGTGTGCGCCACAATGCCTTTTATTTATTAAATATTTTGCTACTTATGTAACAAGTACATTATCTCATGTAAGGTAGACGATTCACTGCAGGATAGCACAACAGGGGGATTAATATGAACATTCTGAAAACAGTGTTCAGTTTCCTTTTTCTCCTTGTACCACAACCATGCCTTTGCACAGTTAAGGCTGAGAGCAGGAAATGATCTCATTGCAAGATTTTGGTCTTTTCGGCCTTGAGATGCTGTAGTCAGTTTTGGTCTCCTCTCCCATGCCATCTGGGCAGAAAGTCCTGCTTCAATAGGAGGGTGGGAGAGCTTGGGTGACAAGGCCTGCTTGCTGTTGCTCTTCAACATTTCTGTGGCTACCTTTAAGCCACGGGCTTCCCTACATTTCCTTGTTCTTTCTTTGTGTTAGAAGGTGGTAGAATCAGGCATATTGCTTGGAGCTTTCTATTCTGAATGGTAAATAGTACCTTAAAAACACATATTAAGAAGAATTAATGTATTGCTTCACAGTTACCTTATCCTTACAGTGAATAAACTCCTCAGATTTTTTTTTTTTTTTCTTCAGACAGACAAGGTCTTACTCTGTAATCTTGTCTGGTTTGGAATTCAGACAGATCATGCTTGGCTTCATATTCCTGAGGACAGAAATATCAGCACTCAAGAGGCCAGCCTGATCTGCATAGTGAGTTCCAGGACAGGCAAAGTCTACTTAGTGAGACTCTGTCTTGAAAGAAAGAAAGGAAGGAAGAAAGAAAGAAAGAAAGAAAGAAAGAAAGAAAGAAAAAAACAAAAAGAAATATAATCAGGCTGGGATTACAGACCTGAGCCAATGTGCCTGCCCAGGCCCTGAAGCTCGTTTTTTAATGTCTTTCTTCCTAGATAGGAGAGCTATTAGAGAGACTCTGTCACCCTTTCTTTCAATCCCAAGCCATGGGCACTGGGCTACCTACGGTGTGTGTTGCCTATATTAAGTGCTGTTGAGTCTCTTTGTCTGTTGATTGTGTTTGATACACTTTCTTTTAAAAAGTTGCCTTGGTTTCTTGAGAGTAAATGAGGAAGATGCTGCTTCAGCGGAGGCTATTTCAGAAGCCTGGGACATATGTGGGCATGAGGGATTAGATTACATCCCTCATCTTCTCTTCTCTCCACTCCTGTGATATCTGAACCGAAACTGGGAAATGCCAATCCCAAAGGTCATGATATCTAATAGGTGTTGCTAAATTCATATGTGGCTTATGTCTTTTGACTGTAGTAAGCATGTTTTACTGTGAAGTTTATGGGTTAATGTTATCTATCCCTAAATATTAGCTGTCCCATCTTTTGTAAATTTATTTTTTAAATAATTGATTTCACAGAATACATTTGTGATAGTAGTCCCCAGCAACTGAATTAGAGTTTAGAAAGTTAAAGCACCACAAGGGCCTGCTCATTTCTAGAACATTTGCCACTTTATCTCCCTAAGTTAGGCACCCTGACTACCCTAATAGCCCAGTGAAATGGATACCAGCAGCTTGAAGTCATTTATAATTTTAAAGTAACCGGTCTGTTGGGGCGTGGGGGAAATACCATAGGTGTATTCAGGTCAGTGAGTATCATAGGAAACCCAACTGCATTTTTAGTGATTCTTGTCCCTTTAAGACACTACCTTGAGCTTATATTTGAGCCGGTAGCCAAGTGGAGTAGCCATAGGGGTCAGGGAAAGATAGACAAACTCCTGAGAGATGAAACAGTTTATTTTAGTTGCTGACATAAAATGACCACAGGCCCCCTGTAATACGGTTCTCTTTTCCCACAAAGTATGTGCCAGTCAGAGCCATTGCATGTGTGTGTGGGGAGGTGGTGGTGACTGACTTCAAGTGGAAAGAAAAAAGATTGTGAATTGGCTACATTTTTGAAAGACTCTTACGTGTGCTCCGTTTTCCTGATGAGTGTTGTGCGAATTATTGCCTTATTGTACAGGGTGCTACGCCTTACCCAGGCCTAATTTCCTAAGATGGTTCAACTTGGAAAGCTGTTGTCTTTTAAGTATAAGCCAGAGGGTCGGGTGTGGTGAAGCTGAGATAGGTGGATCTCTGTGAGTTTGAGGCCAGCTTGATCTACATAGTGAGTTCCAGGACAGCCAGAGCTACATGGTGAGACCCTGTCTCGGGGAGAAAAAGAATAAGTCACTGTTGTCAAAACTTGACATAGTGATATCCTAGGGTACCATCCATAACATTAAATTCAGCCCATTTGACTGTGTCACTGAATTCTGTCTCCCTGGTCCTGGCTTGTGTATGCATGTTGGCCATTCCCAGCACAAAGCTTTTGTCTCGAAGAACAGGCAGGGGACTGAGTGGAATACAAATGGATAGACTCTGCAAAGTTGGTTAATTGTTAAAAAGTGCTTGGTGCTATCTGTGCGGGACAAGGTTTGGGTTCTGACCAGCTCACAAAATCTTTTAAATTAGTTATAGTAATTTGTATTTGGAAGGACAAATAGGAGGAAAATGACTACCTAGACCGTAGACAACTTATTAAAGAGAAAACAATGAAACTGAACAAGATGTAGTTTTATTTGTCTTCAAGTCAATTACTTGTCTCAGGAAGTGGCTGGACTGTTATTTCTAGAAGACAGGTGTAGTGTAAGATGGTGGGAGTGACTGCCTTCACAATATGGTCCCCCTTTTACATTTATTATTTGTTTTTGTGTGTATTTATGCACATGAGTGTGCAAGCATGTGCTATTACACAAATGTGGATAGCATAGGACAACCTGTAGGTGTCAGTTTTCTCCTTCCTGGGACTGAACTCAGTTTGTCAGATTTGGTCTTTGCTAGCTGAGCCATCTCAATGGCACTCTGGTGGCTCTAATAGCAGATGTATGTTAATATTTATCTTACCTGTGTCAGGGATAGTTTTCACTCAAGTGAAATTTAGGAAATAGCTTAGCCACTTTTTGAGGCAGGAAGGTCAATTTTAGAAGTCATGGTGGAATTCAAGTTCACAGCTTAAGAATAGGACTATGATTTTCTTTCCTTTTTGGTTTTTTGAAACAGGGTTTCACTGTGTAGCTTTGGAGTCTGTCCTGGAACTCACTCTGTAGACCAGGTTGGCCTCAAACTCACAAGAGATCCACCTGCCTCTGCCTCCCAAGTGCTGGGATTAAAAGTGGGCTCCGCCACTGCCTGGCCAGGACTATGACTTTCAGTAGAAGTGTTGGGTCATTGGGAGCTGGGAGAGCCTACATCTTCCGTTGCTTGAAAGAAACAGGATGAACGTTGGCTGATTTCTTTTGACTCTATTGGCCCAAAGGCAAGGGACTTGTGGCAAACGTATCCATATTCTTGGACCCCTTCCCTCTTCATCTACTGCTTTCAGAACAGTCTTTGAGGGGCCTTTTCATTTTCCTCTTTCTGTTCCTGTCATTTTCCTATGCCCTTGTTTTTCAAGGCAGAGGATCAAACATGCTAGGCTAATGCTCTACAGAGGAAGCTACATTCCCAGCTTCCTACCACTATCTTAAATCATACCAACAATGCAGTGAGACAGGAGACAGCTCCTCACTGCAGTGAGGCAGTAAAGGGGAGTCATGACCATTTCTCTGATGGAATCATCTCTCCAACTAAGAGAACATGCATAAGGTGTGGACTCCTCATTGGTTCAACCTGCTGTGTACTGAAAGATGACTATTCTCAGTAAAGATGACCTCAATCTCCTTCTAATTCTCACTATAAGTCCTGTAAAAGATCATGGGCAGTGGCTCTAGAGAACACTCAGTGGTTAAGAACACTTACCGCTTTTCTAGAAGACCTGAGTTCGATTCCTGGCATCTGCGTCAGCTAGATCACCACTGTCTGTCTGTAACTCTAGCTTCACAGCATCTGATACCTCTTCTGGCCTCTGTAGACACCTGCTCTCATGTGCATATACTCACATGCAAGATACACTCACACACATATAATTAATAATAATAGTAAAAGACCACTGAGCAGGGCAGTACATGCTCCCTTCTCTACTGTCATTCTTTTTCAAGGCAGAGCCATCTAGGGCCTCACACATGCTACCACTGAGCTGTACCCTTGGCTTCTACTTTACTTTCCATCTTGAAATACCTTCTTACTAAATTGCTTAAACTGAACTGGAACTTGCTATATCCTCTTCGGCTGCTGGTAGTATCCACCTGGCTGAGCTCTATTTAAAATTTGCCTCTCTTTTCTCTTTTTTAAATTTAATCTTTGTTGTTGTTGTTGTTGGTCTGCTTGGAATTAATCTCAGAGCCTCAAACATTCTAGACAAGCACCCTACCTCTACATCCTGTTGGTGTGTAATTTGTTGGGACCAAGTTGATGGTGATTCATTATTTAGTATAATAATGGGTCTAATGATAAATTTCTAGTTGAAAGCAAGTGACCT